CCACGTGTGTGCCACTGCACTCCAAAGTGCTGGGATTACAGGCGTGAGCCACCACACCCAGCAAGAACATAAGTGGGCGACAGAGTGAGACTCTGACTCAAAAGAAAAAAAAGAAAGAAAGAAATGAAGAAGTCTGTGTGTAAACTCTACAAAACTAAATGCTGAAATATGTGAACAAACTTCAGGAAAGCAATATTGGAGGAAAGTATGTTCAGAGAAGGTGTTCTACTGAGACAGGTAAAGGCAAGTGGCAAGAGCATAGATTCTCCATCCAGACTGTCTGCATCCACACCCGGCTTTCCAGGCACAAGGTCTATAACCTTAGGCAGGTGTTAGTCAGCTCAGGCTGCCAAATAAAATGCCATCAACTGGGCTGTGTGGCTTAAACAACAGAAATGTATTTTCTCACAGTTCGGGGGGCTGGCAAGCCTAACCTCAAAGTGCTGGCAGTGTCGGTGGCTGGTGAGGGCTCGCTCTTTGGGTGGCAGGTGGCCGCCTTCTCACTGTGTCCTCACATGGCTTCCTGGAGCGCATGCGTCTCTCTTTTCCTCTTTTTAGGCCACCAATCACCTCCAGGTATAATCACACTGGGGAGGCCACCAACTACCTCCAACTAATCTCATGGTGGGCTAGGGCTTCAACATATGAATTTTGGGAAGATACAGTTCAGCCCACAGCAGCAGGTTACTGAACCTCCCAGGGCCTACATTTTCTTAGCTGTAAAAAGAGCCGATAATAATAGAAAAGGACTTTTGTGAGGATTAAAAGAATTAATACATGTACAGCTCTTAGAACACAAGTTGGTGCATCCATTGTAAGTGTCACACAAATTTGATGATCATTAGTGACTATATTTTGGGAAGTTTCTAATAGGGAATTCTAATTTCTCAAAAATATTATTAAAGTATACCTAAATTACTATTAATCAGGGTTTCTCACTCTCAACTGCTGTTGACATTGTGGAGTCTGATGATTCTTTGCTGGGGGAGTTGTGCTGTGCCCCGCAAATGCTTGGCAGTGCCCTTGGCCTCCGCCCCCAGCTGTGACAGCCACAAATCTTTCCAGACACTGCCAAATGTCCCCTGTGAGGCAAACTCACACCTGACTGAGAACCACTGATATAAATCTATCAAAGACACAAACAACAGCTACACAAATGCCTTAAAAATTTGAAAATTTGAGAAATTGGAGACCATCATACTTAGTGATCTATCACAGAAACAAAGAACTGAACGCTGTATCTCACTCGTGAGATCTGAACATTAATCACATCAGCACAAAGGAGGGATTGGCAGTAGTACATTAACGGGGGCGGGGGATGTGGGGGATGTAACAACACAAACAGGACCTGGTCCTAAGCCAGGGAAAGTTAGGGCCAGTTGGAGGCCCAAACTTCACCTGCACCAAGTCTGCTTGTGTAGTTAATCCTGACTCGTACCCCCACATCTCTGCAATAAAATAAAACTTAAAAAAATGTTTTTTTACAAAATTTAAGGAATAGGAAACTGTATCAACAATCCTTTTTCTTTTCTTTTCTTTTCTTTTTTTTTGAGTTGGAGTCTCACTCAGTCGCCCAGACTGGAGTGCAGTGGCCGCTCCCGGCCACTGCAGCGTCGACCTGCTGGGCTCTGGCGATCCTTCCGCCTCAGCCTTCCGAGTAGCCGGAATTACAGGCATGCGCTACCATGCCCGGCTAATTTTTGATTTATTGTAGAGACAAGATCTTACCAAGTTACCCGGGTGGGTCTTGAACCCCTGAACTCAGGCAATTCTCTCACCTTGTCCTCCCAAAGTGCTGGAATTACAGGCTGAGCCACCGAGCCCGGCCAAAACCTCTTAATATAAAATCTCGGAATCACGTTGAGTGAATGATTAGAAAACTGTAACAGGCAAGTCATTAAGGTCTCATTACCATTCACAAACACTCACAGTGCAATAATAAACTTTTTCATATAAAACTTTTATTGAGAACAGTTAGGAGTGCTTTGCCCCATAATTGAAAACACATTATTTTTAAAGTAACACTTCTATTAAAGGAGTCACTAAAAATGACTGAAATGAAACAATAACAGTAGCATTTTTTTTTTGAGCAGGGTCTCATTCTGTCACTCAAACTGGAGTCCAGTGACATGATCACAGCTTACCGCGGCCTCCATCTCCTGGGCTTAGGAGATCCTTCCACTTCAGCCTCCCAAGTAGCTGGGAGTATAGGTGTCACTATTCCCAGGTAACTTTTTTTTCGTAGAGATGAGGTCTCACTATGTTGCCTAGGTTGGTCTTGAATTCCTGGGCTCAAGCAATCCTTCTGCCTCAGCCTCCCCAAATGCTGAAATTACAGCATGAGCCACTGCACCTTGTCAAAAACAGTCGCATTTGCCATGGGCCAGACACTGTTCTCAGAGTTTATCCATTTAGTCACAACAATCAAGGTAGGCAGGTATTATTATTATCGACATTGTACATGAGGAAACAGATATGGAGAGGTGAAGTAGCCTGCCCAGAGTCACACAAGTAAATGGTGGGGCTGGGATTCAAATACAGGCATCCTGGCTCTACAGTCACTGAGTAAGAATATCAAAATGTAGAGAAAATACCTCCTCTGTATGACATGCTTTGCTGAACATAAGCTAACCATGCTTTGTTTTTCACACAGCTGCTATAGGAACACTTTAAACATCTTTTCCTGATACTGTACAGGCATCTCCACTAACTTCAATTAAATAAAGCAATTTTAAGGAATGTACCTTTGTTTTACACCAAAGGCTGTGTCTCCCTAGCAAAAATAAATAATTTAAAAAATAAGTAAAATCGTTTTGAGCTTATTCTTTAGGCCTAAAAGCCTTGACCAAGTGAATATTAAACCTCATGTTAAGTACTAGGCACATCTCTAAAGTGAAGTGATCAGCAAGATTTGGCTCTATGAGCTCTCCTTTTTAGAATATCAGTCATTCAAAAATCTGAACCTATATACTTTTTGTTTTGAGAGACAGGGTCTTGCTCTGTCATCTGGACAGGAGTACCGTGGCACAATCATAGCTCACTACAGCCTCCATCTTCTGGGCTTAAGTGATCCTCCTGAGTAGCTAGGACTACAGGTGTGTACCACCATGCCCAGCTTATTTTTTGTAGAGATGGGGTCTGGCTACGTTGTCCAGGTTGGTCTCAAACTACTGGCCTCAAGTGATTCTCCTGCCTTGGCCTCCCAAAGGTGCTAGGATTTCAGGTGTGAGCAATTGCACTGAGTCTATACCTGAACCCATATACCAGTGCTCCCCAAAGCAATACTACCTCTAAAGGGTATATTTTTAAATGTGAGCTTTTTTGAGGTGGCATACAGATTGGTGGAACCCCTGGCCTTCAGTTGGTGAAGGTCAAGGAAGTCAGATGTCTTGGGACATAGGGGACAGTCCCAGATGATGAAACACAGATCCACATCCTATGTGACTTTATGTTCATTCATGCGGCAGAAAATCTGTTCACAATGACCTACACCTAGAACCTGATAACTTCTTGCATATAAACACAAAGTACTTTTTGCATGGTCTTAAAATTCACCAGTCTCTGAATATGCAATTAATATGTAAATCAAAAGACTGCCTGTTTTTTGTTCGGAACTTTACAAAAAGTATTATCAACGAAAAAGCCTGAGTCACTCCATCAGTCTACATTGTTGCTGTCTACCCGTAGTGGCTGCATATGCCAGACACACACACAGGGTATCAGCCTACTTCATTATAGCTTCTAGTGTAATTGTATGCATTTACATACTGCAATACAACTGAGCTTTACTTTCATTTCTCTTTTATATGACTATTATATACACTTTAATTACGTGTATCGGGAACATTTATGAATTTCACTTCAGGACAGCAAAGGGAACACTAGTTTTTATAAAAAGGAAGCAACGGGACTTGATAGGGTAAGATTTACTGACTTGCTGGAATACAAGAATGAAATTTGCATAGATGGAAAATTAAACCGCTAAAGCTGACTAATGCTTGTTTCCAATAAACTAGTAAAATAAAATTAATGTCATTTAGTCAAACGCAAAGAAAAACCTGTTCCATGCTCAAACGATGTGTTGGAACCCACAAGTGAATGTCTCGGCATGTCTTTCTGACAAAACACTATGTGCTGAACTTTCAGATGGCGATGCAGATGAGCTGCCACCAGCCCAGGATGGCAGGATCAGTGCTGCTTTGTCCCAGACCCTCCTCCTCGCTTGCCCTCAGATGCTGGTGTGGAACATAAACAGAGCTTTGTTAGGTGGTGGGACTGTGCTTTTGCTGTGTGGAAAATCAAATTATTACTGCCATCCCCCACATTTCATTTACATGCTGTCACACGCCTAAAGTAACCTGACACACTTTCCTCTTCGCTGCAAAGCCAAATATTTGGATCACATTTTATGGTTGCAACCTTTTAAAAAGGTCAGACAAAAAGTCACTAAAACAGTTCATTGCGCAATGATAAACATATTCAAGTGGCTAAACATATTTGTATATTATAAATGATTTTCTCAGTAGCAAGAAAGACAACTGTGAAAAAATATATAATAAAGCAATAATTTTCAGAAAGATCTGATTAATAAGAAGTGGTCAATAGGAGAGCATACAAAATTCTAATTTTGTACTCTGTTCTTTTTTAAACATTCTTTTATGTATCCACATCCCTTGGATTTAAAGGTTCAGAATGGCAGATGTGAATAGTTAAGATTTTAAGGTTTTTATATTTTAAATTCCTATCAGTAGCCTCTAATACAGAAGAATTCAAAATGAACTTGTGGTTAATAATTTGTTTAGAAATAACTTACTCTGAATATGAGTTTGCTAAAATTTAAGTATTTTCTTGCACTTGTTTCCAGATAATAAACCCTAAATCTTATTATTGCCAAATGAAAACGTATATACATTTTCTCAAATTAAATGAAAGCATTTACTTGACAGATTAGCACTAAGTTTAATATTGTACATAAAACTGTAATAAAGACAATTTTCAAATAAGGTAAACAGAATAGACCATTTATTAAAACACTGTGTGATAAAATAAGCTTTCTGATCCAATGCTACACTGGCAAACACATTCCCTTCATTCAAATTTACATCATCATCTTACCAGAACTAGAAAATACTTCTGCCCTTCACATCCAATGACTGAAGAGTGAGGTGAGGACAGATCTAGTTTTCTTGATGAGTCAACGGTAAAGAAGGATAACTTAAAAGATAATCAGAATTCCATATGCCCAAACATTACATTTTATTTACCCTGCTCACTGGTTCCAATTAAAAATTCTCACACCAAATAAAGATTTCATGGACTGCATTCCCCCTGCCAAAAATAAATATTACGAACAAATTAAGGATAAGAGTTGGGTTTTAAACTGCACTTTATTTGTTACTATCACATTCTTTTTTATCTGATCACCCATAAGCATGCAAAAAGTTCTTTTTTGTATGGGACTGTGTCCACTGCCTGTTGTATATCAATAAGTAGATAATCAAGGTCATTCAATGTGGAGTCCTCTCCTTTTTTATAGCACTTCTAAGCAGTGTGTGGGACACACACACCACAGAGGTAGGAAAGACCATCTTTAATAAATTATCTTCTTAATTGTAGAGAATTTCTGAAAATAAAACTGGCAAAATGCTAAACCATGCCTTTAATGAGGCCCAAAGGACCACAGATCCATCGACTCCTATTTGAAGAATTAATCCCCTGGAGTGTTCTAGCCTTTGTAGGGCACTTGATAACAAGATTCACCAGGGCTCCAAATAACTGCATTAAGAAAGCTGCCTGCCACTCTCATTTGCCGATTCTTTGGACCACCCAGTCCTGCTGGCAGAGAGGGCAGCGATTGTTCTGTTTCACCCACAGGGACATGCAGCAGTTGTGAAAGGAATGATTACATTCTCCCCAGACCACTGAAAGAAAGAAAGAAAAAAATGAGGTGATATTACATATTTCAATTTAAATTACTAAAACTCAAAATTATAGTTTATTTTATGAATAATAACCATGATTCATAATCTTGGAAAAAAGAGGAATAATTGGCCAAAATAATGTTTTTCTATCTAGAAAGAAACAGAAGTTTAAATGTATAAATTACACTTAAGAAATGAGATAAGTTGGCCAGAAGTGGTGCTCAGTGCCTTTGGGAGGCCCAAAGTCAGGAGCTTGAGACCAGCTGGACAACATAGTGCGACCTCATCTCTATAACATATTAATAATAAAAACTTTTTTTAAAAATTAGGTAAGCTGCTAAGGGACTTGTCATCCCTGTTCTAGAATTTGTGACCCCTCGTTCCCTTCACACACTTTCTTGAAGTTAGGAGATTAAAAGACTTGAACCTTCCTTAGATCCCAGGTGTTCTCAGTTAGGCACTGACCTTAGAGATCTTTTGGGCTTCATTTTATTGAAAAATGTCCTCCCAGATTTCATTACAAAGATAGAATGAGTATCAAATATTTTCAGCTCACAGTAAGCAGTTATAAATTACATGCTTCTAAACATTATCAGTTATACGTCTACGGAGTTGTTTTCTAGAAGTGATGAATTGTGTTAAGTCATCCATAAGCAGTGCAATTCCTCATGCGGCAATGACATTTTCCAAGTGGGTGGCTGGAGAAAGAGGTCTCTGTGATCAAAGAAAGCGGCCTGCCCCTCACAATTCCCAGATTGATATGATTTTAAACTGGCATCATGAAAGAAATTTTTTCAAGGGAAATCACCCACAATCTGGAATACAATCTCATCAGACTTCATCTGCCCCCTGCTTGCCCAGCTGAGCTAGAGGACAATGGAACAAGAATAAATGAAAGAAATGATTTGGGGGAAGAGAAGAGAAATACTTCCTATGAAAACTGGCTACATAGGGCAGGAAGTAAGAAGGACACATTTTAAGTGTTTCAAGAAGAAGAAATAAGATTTGATCAAGACTCAAAACGTTATTAAGAAACTGTATGTAAACCAACCATGCAAACATAAAATACAAAGTTAACCTTTTAGTCCAGGAAAGACTATAAACACTTTCATATAGCAATCTAGCAGTGATCACCTCAAAAACAAGGACATAAAGACCTTTGACTTGCTTAAAATATTTAGGTTAAGACAACTTTGGTAATCTAAAACTGTAAAGAAAATTTAATAGATTTCAATATACAAACCACATCCCTTCAAAATACTTGAGACTTAGAATTTTTTCTACCTTAGTTGAGAATTTAAATATTGTATCATGTTTTAAAAAATGGAAATGCTTTATTAGAACCCAAAATGACCTATAACACAGCAAAAATTCAAATAATATTTTGACAAATTTATTTTATAATTTTAATAGGAGGTAATTATTTATTTTTTGATGACCAAAATGTTTCTTATGACTATGTCTGGAATAAAATAACGGATCCTTCTTAATGATAGTGTTAAAAGGACTTGCAGATTCATTCCATTAAAGCCTTTTGAGAATCAACACATTTTATATTAATAACGGACCACTGCTTTACAGTTTATTTTTGTGTATTGATAAAGTCAATCTTAATTGCAAATTCAAACATTCCCACTGAGAGAAAACCTTCAGTTGAAAAAGCAAGAGAAAGAAATTACAACATACCAACACAATCCTCTTGTTTGTTTTCAGCTTGACATCTAAGACAGGCATCTAAAAGTAAACAAATAGCAATTCTCATTCTGATGCTCAGAATGCAATTTTTAAAACCCAGACACTTCAAAGTCAAATAAAAGCCCTAAAGGTTAGAGATGGAGATAGAAGACCCTCAGTATTAATTTCTCATCTGAACATAACTATTTAAAGAGGAATAAAGTACAGGCCATTTTACTAATTTACCTATGACCAGGAACAATTTCACAAGGGTTAACAAATGTTGATTTTACAAGCTTTGATGAAAAGATGTCCTGACAGTGCCATTAGAGAAAACCACTAGAGAAAAAGATGCCATACTCTCTATTAGAAGTTACTATAAACTCACTAGGCATGCTCAGGGGCAGTGCATTTTAAAGACCCCCTTTTAAAAGGATGGTTATTTCTTGGAATTTCTTTATGTATACATAAAGAAACTCTAGAAGGATACTCAAGAAACCAATTTTGAACTATGTACCTGTATAACCAAAATTAAGTTGAAAAACTGACTCTTTCACAAGCAAGTTTTCTTGAGTTACCCATACTTCTTGACAGACTTTATCCTTCAGCAACCCATAAAAAGTAACTTCTTGCTTTCATTCATATCAAAGAAACAGAGTTCCTTTAAAATGAACTATTCTGTATGCTTTCAATAGGTCACTACTAATGGTCGGTCATCCAAAGAACACTGATGAAAAGCAAGGGCTGGGTGTCAAATTCCAGTGGCATTTACTGGTTTCAGGTCCCTGGACCAATTACAAACCTCAGTGTCCTCCCCTGTAACAAGCAGATAATGCCATGAGGTATTTAGATATTAAGTGGGGATGAAACATACCTCTGAGAATTTTACAGATAAAATAAATAGTAGGTACTCTAAATACTAGGTTTTTTTCTTTTTAAAGGTAAGTCTGAGTCTAAGGCAACTACCCAACAATGGCAAAGTGTTCTAAAAGTTATGCTGGTGTAAATACTTAGAATGGGTACCCAAAGAGTTTACAAGAAGTTTTCAAAATTCAATCTGTAGTACTATTACCTTAAAGAAAAAGGTAATACAGAATATTTTAGGGACCAAAAATGGGCTCATTCACTAGCTGGAAGAGGAGTCACGGCTGGGTAAAAGGAAGTTCAAACCAACAGAAAAAAAATAGTTTTAACATAAATAGGAGAAAAATAATTCTGTAAAAATAGAAACAGTGGAGTTGAAGCTGGCTTCTCTTCTTACACTGGGTTATGCACAGGCATTTGTTTGCTCCTCTCCGTATGCTCTTACCCTTAAGAAAACACCACCACCCTGGACTCTTCAGTGTGGACTAAAAACAACCACTGCCTCCCGAGGCTTTCTTCAATTTCATAATTACCAAGCATCTACTCTGTGCAAGGAGTTATGCCCTGGGGACACCGACGTGACCAAAGCTAGGTCTCAAGGGGCTCACCAGCAAATGAGGAGGTAGACAAACATATAAATACCTTAAGGATCACCCTGCTACCTGTTATCTGGCTCTGGTTCTGCGCAACCACAAAATTTGAGTATTAGAGTTGGTGAGTCCAACTGCCTCTTTACAAATTAGGAAGGTAAGGTTTCAAAAGGTCACGTGAAATGTCCAAGGTATACAGTCATGAGGGTCACTCTGGCTATAGTAACTTGGCTGTATAAGCAAACCTCTTCCCTTCTTCCTCATTAGTGCTTGCCCACTGTGCCATCTGCTCCTTTCAGAATGAAAGCAGAGTGCTACTCATACCAGAATGGGTTGACAGGTAAATCTTGGAGCAGAAAGTGTAATAAATTCCTTAGGAGTGGGAGATAAACTCCAAATATTAAGGACATGGAACTAAGTGGGTTCTTGCTGCAGAATCTAGAAGTCTCTGGATTGTGCTTATAGCTTTGATTTAGATTATCAAAGAGTTACCCCAATACACACAAATCTCTAAAGTTTCAGACCAAAAAAAAAAAATTTCTGTCATGATGTTCCTAGTGTCCAAAACAGCACATTTCCAGGGAGTACAGTAACATCTTGTAGATTGATGCTAGGTAAGGCCTGGAAAGTCTGAAAAACACATTTCCTTCTACTGCCACCTGACCACTAAGTGGGTTTTAAAACACCTCATAAACAAAATACAAAGGTCTGGTCCAGAATACTTTCCTGAACCCAAAGTACAGCTGTTATAAATATGCAACATTAATCCTGCAGTAGCAGAATACTTGCTATAATTAGAATGTTAATGATGAATGTGTCACTGCCCATACTTTGACCTATTTTAAATATCTCAGTAAAGTTTATTTGTTGCAAAATTTCAATTACTATTTTAGCTTCTGCATTTCTACTTACTATTTAAACTTTTTTTCCTTTGAGGAGAAAACAGCTTTTTAAGTGATAAACCCTTTTAAAATGGCCCTGGGAACATTATTTTTAAACTAAAAAGGAACTAAATGGAAGTTTAGTTTCCTTTAAGCTAAAGGGAATTTTTTTTTGAGTTGGAGTCTCACTCTGTCGCCCAGACTGGAGTGCAGTGGCTGCTCCTGGCCACCGCAGCCTCGACCTGCTGGGCTCCAGCGATCCTTCCGCCTCAGCCTTCCGAGTAGCCGGAATTACAGGTGCACGCTACCACGCCCGGCTGATTTTTTGATTTATTGTAGAGATGAGGTCTTGCTGCCCAGGAGGGTCTCGAACCCACAGGCTCAGGCAATCCACTCACCTCAGCCTCCCAAAGGCGCGGGATTACAGGCTGAGCAACTGAGCCCGGCTGCTAAAGGGTATTTAAGTGATAAAATTTTTAGCTAGTATTGCAAAAGAAAAAAAAAATATTAGCTCTCCTGGATAAGTTAAACATGCATCCCAAACAGAAATAATAATTCTAGTTCTTAAGTAAAGAGTGGAAAGGGGGAGGGAAGAGTTACATTGCAGGCCAATAAACTAGATACTTTTAAAGCCTAATATGCAAAAATAAGTGGATCATGTCTAAAATCAAGGTTTTCCAAAAGTAAAAAATAAAAATATTTAAATCTCATTACTGTAAATCTTTGAAACAAGTCCCTATGAATAAAAGACAAAAGCGCATAAATTGAGAAATTTCTTAATTCTGGTAGGCTTAAGGTCTCATCCCTTAAGAAAGGAGAACAATTCTATGTTCGCCAATTCTCTCGTTTTTGTAGGACAAGTCACAAAGTTTCCAAACTACAGAAATCAATTTTCTTCAACTGTCCTCAAGAAACAACTCATTTAAAAAGCTCTCACAGTAATTTCAAAGCCCTATCTAAAAACATAACTTGCGGTTAAACAGCATCTGTTTTTACAGTGGTCTGAGATCTTAAAACAGACCCACGTCAGACACAACAAGATTAAACTGCTCTGAAATGTTTTACTTGATCCACGATTTTAACCCAGTATATTATAGAAAGAAGACATTTGTAAAACAGGGTTCTCCACAAAGACGTGACTCAGAGCAGGGCAGTATCTTCTCCAGGAAATGGCATCTTATGATGGAGAGCGGGGCGAGATGGAGATGAAGCTTACTGTTTCCGAATAAAGGACTTACGTTGTTCAATTCCCATGAAACTCATATTCGTGAACCATACTGTATCCCCTTTAAGCCAAGCGAATGCTCAGATCAATCCCCATTTAAAGGCCAGCCCGACAGCAGCAGCAGCTAATCCGGAAATGCGTGGGCTGGGAACACTTTTCTTTACTGCGCCCGTCGTTTTTGTGGAAGAGGCGATGCCTGAGCATCACTTTCTGGTGGACCAAAACCTTTTCAAGTGCGCTGCTGAGTCACGGCCTTCACCCTGACCCCTCCGCGGTGTGCTGTGACAGCTGGGACTGGCCACACAAACCTAGGTGGTTCCAACAAGCTCCAGAAATCACCCCGCTCTATTCTCTGGGCCACACCCATCACTACCTGAAACCACCGTTTGATTCCTCCGTTTGTCACCCGTCTTTCTCCCAAGAACATCAGCCACCCGGCGCGGGGGGCCCTTGCACGACCCCACGCCCGCACCCCTCCGGCCCGCTGGCAGCAGAGGCGTGGCCCGCGCCCCCCAGCGCCCGGGCAGGGCGACCCCGGACCACTCGCCCAGGCCGGGGGCTTTCCGAGACTTAGGGCGCGCCGGCCGGCCCTGCCCCCGCCGGAGCCGGCCCGCAGAGGCCGCAGGGCGGCCCCGGGCTCGCGTGCAGCGCTTACCCATCACCTGGACCCTGCAGATGGCGCACGTATCGCACTCCACGTCCCAGCTCCACATGGCCACCGCGTTCCACTTCTTGAGAGAGAACATCTTGTCGCCTCCCGACTTGGAGCCTGCGCCCCCAGAGTGAGAGGCCAGGGCGCAGGGCTCCTCGCCGTCTTCCACGTCGGCCATGGCGGCGGCGCGGAGCCGGCGGCGGGGACGT